GCCCAAAGATGATGCAAGTGTGTGGCAGAGCCAGGGTTTGAAGCCAGATTTTCTGAAGCCCAGTTGTACTCTTGTTACCACATCGTGCTGAAAATACTGTAGAACAGTGGTCTCCAACCTTTTTATGCACAAGATCACTTTTTGAATTTAAGTGCAACCCAGGATCTACCGTGCCTCTTCCCCAAGGCCCTGCCCTTGCCCCCCCCCCTTCGCTGAGCCCCTGCCGCCCGCTCACTCTAGCCCCCCCTCCCTTGGTCGCTTGCTCTCACCCATCCTCACTCACTTTTAGCAGGCTGGGGCAGGGGGTTGGGGTGCAGGAGGGGGTGTGAGCTCTGGGCTGAGGGGTTTGGAGTATAGGAGGGGGCTCCTGGCTGAGCCTGAGGCAGAAGGTTGGGGTACAGGAGGGGGCTTAGGACTGGGGCAGGAATTTGGGTGTGGGAGGGGACTCGGCTGGAACAGGGGGTTGGGGTGCAGGAGGGGGTGTGGGCTCTAGGAGGGAGTTTGAATGCAGGAGGCTCAGGGCTGGGGCAGGGGTTCAGGCTCCGGCCAGGTGGCACTGACCTCGGGTGGCTCTCAGAAGTGGTGGCACGTCCAGCAGGAGCTCCTAGGCTCAGGGGTGGCCCATGCGACTCTGCATGCTGCCCCTACCCACAGGCACCACCCCTGCAGCTCCCATTGGCCGCTGTTCTCCATTCCTAGCCAATGGGAGCTGTGGAGTCAGCGCTCAGGGTAGGGGCAGCACACAGAGACCCCTTTGCTCCCCCTGCGCCTAGGGGCCACAGAGACATGCTGGCCACATCCGGGAATGGCGCAGAGCCAGGGCAGGCAGGGAGCCTGCCTTAGCCCCACTGTGGCACTGCACTTTTAGCAGCTTAAAATTTCCTGGATTGGCTTGAGTAGCCTCTGGGAGACCAAGCCCAATTCCGGGAGACTCCCGGCCAAACGAGGATGTAAACGAGGATGTAACCCTACTGCAGGGGGATGTAGATGAGACATTTTCAAAGTGGCATATTGCATTTGGCAAATGCGTGGGGCCTGATCCTGCCCCTATTGAGGCTGATGGCAAAACTGTCATTAACTTCAATGGGAGCAAGTTTGCAGTTTTTAAAAAAGTTTGTAAGATGCAGATTGTGGCTGACCCTTAGGCCTGAGTCAGGATGGAAGTTGAGGGTAATAGGATCCAAGGATCTCTTGATGCCAGTTGGCCAAAGAGCGTCACATAAGAATTTCAGGGATCCCCTGGGTCTGGTACTGTGTTTACATTCTAGCTTACCAAAGAGTGTCACATAAGGTTTCTACTAAAAGCCTATGTCACACTGATTATCATAAATCTTTGCTAAATGTATATGTGGATAATGTGTAAGGACATATGTAGAGGAAATTATGCTCCTAAGGCCTTGTAGTTAAAGGCAGGGCACCCAGAGATAGCAAGCCTTAGGTCAGGTTCCACCAGACAGAAGATGGAAGACATTTATCTCTCTGGCTGACCATTGTGTGCCTTACAATGAGAGTCGATTTGCATAATGAGTCAAATGTGAATAAGGGGATTGTGGGGACTTCAGAAGGAAAATTAACAGGAAGAGGTAAATGGGGATGGCGTGGGCAGGAACCCAGTTTTAGAATGAAGAACAAAGGTCTATTCTGGTAAATCTGGGGGTGCAAAGAGATACCCTGGCATCCTTCATCGTGGAGGCAAGCTGCCAGTGAATTTGGGCTCATGAAAGAAGGGTCTCTGCATGCTGATTGAAAAACACAGTGAGAAGGACTTTGGGATAAGCAGTCCTCTGTTAGACTAGTGGGCATCTTGTTAGTTGAGTTTAGCCTCAAAATGCATGTTCTGACTTTTTTATATATATATAAAGAACACTTTTTTCCCAATATTTCTGATGGCTATCATATGAATTTCTATTCTTTGTTAAATAAACTTGTACTTGCTTTCTCTATAAACAAATCTCAGTGCTGTGTGTTAAGTGGAGCTGTGTTCTAAGGGGTAAGTAGCCAGCTGCGGTGTATTGTTCCTTTGGGGACAGCGGGTCTGGTAATTCTGTGAGTGGCCAGTGGATAAGGGGCTGGACACTGCAGGCAGATGCTCGGAGGACTCAGAGGTTGGAGTGTGCCTATCGCTAGGCGGGGACAGTGGAGCCCGCCTGGGTTGAGGGGAGTGCTTGTGTTGCCAGTGCCTGGGAAAGTCAGGGAGCTGACTCCTGGGAGGTACAGACAAGGCTTCCTCACGCTAAGGGCAGGTGGAGCAAGGCGCCTCAGAACTCTGGGTACCCCAGGAAGTGTCACAGGTAATCCTTGCTCAGATGAAAAATGACAGAACAAGGAGTAATGGTCTCAAGTTGCAGTGCGGAGGTCTAGGTTGGATATTAGGAAAAACTTTTTCACTAGGAGGGTGGTGAAGCACTGGAATGCGTTACCTAGGGAGGTGGTGGAATCTCCTTCTTTAGAGGTGTCATAACTATAAAGGGAAGGGTAAACCCCTTTAAAATCCCTCCTGGCCAGAGGAAATCTCCTCTTACCTGTAAAGGGTTAAGAAGCTAAAGGTAACCTCGCTGGCACCTGACCAAAATGACCAATGAGGAGACAAGATACTTTCAAAAGCTGGGAGGAGGGAGAGAAACAAAGGGTCTGTGTCTGTCTATATGCTGGTCTTTACCGGGGATAGACCAGGAATGGAGTCTTAGAACTTTTAGTAAGTAATCTAGCTAGGTATGTGTTAGATTATGATTTCTTTAAATGGCTGAGAAAAGAATTGTGCTGAATAGAATAACTATTTCTGTCTGTGTATCTTTTTTGTAACTTAAGGTTTTGCCTAGAGGGGTTCTCTATGTTTTTGAATCTAATTACCCTGTAAGATATCTACCATCCTGATTTTACAGGGGGGATTTCTTTATTTCTATTTACTTCTATTTTTATTAAAAGTCTTCTTGTAAGAAAACTGAATGCTTTTTCATTGTTCTCAGATCCAAGGGTTTGGGTCTGTGGTCACCTATGCAAATTGGTGAGGCTTTTTATCCAACATTTCCCAGGAAAGGGGGGGGTGCAAGTGTTGGGAGGATTGTTCATTGTTCTTAAGATCCAAGGGTCTGGGTCTGTAGTCACCTAGGCAAATTGGTGAGGCTTTTTACCAAACCTTGTCAAGGAAGTGGGGTGCAAGGTTTTGGAAGTATTTTGGGGGGAAAGACGCGTCCAAACAGCTCTTCCCCAGTAACCAGTATTAGTTTGGTGGTGGTAGCGGCCAATCCAAGGACAAAGGGTGGAATATTTTGTACCTTGGGGAAGTTTTGACCTAAGCTGGTAAAGATAAGCTTAGGAGGTTTTTCATGCAGGTCCCCACATCTGTACCCTAGAGTTCAGAGTGGGGGAGGAACCTTGACAAGAGGTTTTTAAGGTCAGGCTTGACAAAGCCCTGGCTGGGATGATTTAGTTGGGGATTGGTCCTGCTTTGAGCAGGGGGTTGGACTAGATGACCTCCTGAGGTCCCTTCCAACCCTGATATTCTATGAATAATGCAGTTGACTTAAATGTTCATTTTGGGAAAGCTGGAATCAGAGCCAGCGCTAGGCATAAGTAGACTAAGCAATTGCTTAGGGCCCCAAGCAGCTCAAGGGGGCCCCTTTTGCTTTTTATTATGTGTTGGCGGGTGGAATATTCCTGTTGAGGTCCCCCAATGGGCTAGTGCTGCTGCGGCCTGGAATTACTTGCCTGAATAATGGTTACTGATATGTAAGAGTCATGGGATCAGGCCTATATCCAAGGAAGAAAATAGCTTCACAAATATATAAATATGTGATGTGTTAATTAGCACACTATTTAGAGTTATTTAGCTGTTTCTTGAGGCAACTGTACTCACGGAGGTGGTATCTGTGCACAGAAGATTCCCAAGGCAACCATTCAGGTTACAATTTACCTTAAAACTATCCCTTGAGCACAGACTTTCCAGAACTTCTAAACTTGAGAAAATGTTTTTACAAATTGATGGTCACAGAGCCAAAAAAAAAGCTTCCAGCATGTTTCTGGTTGGTATGGCAGGGAAATAACCACCCAACAATCAGTTTTTTGTCCCAAACCAGTTTGTTTCAAAATGGTGGATTACTGGCTGCAAACACCACCTCTCAATAGTCACAAGACATCCAAGGTAAGAATGAAAGCTGCGTTACTTATTGTGAACCTACTGAAGCCTAATTGTTTTTAAGCTTGCATTGACTATTCTTTATTTCATGTGTGCACTTTAGATCGAGGGTATTTATTAAATCTTGAGTAATGTAGCTAGCTATACTGAATCAGAGTTTTTATGCTTAATGAATTCTCTTCTGGTCAATATATGGCTTATAACAATACATCTCTTTTCCCAGGAAATTATAATCATTAATAATATATGGTGCCACAATTTTCATAATGCTCTACAGAAAAAAAAGATACGTGGTCAGATTCTGATCTCAGTTACGCTCATGTAAATCCAAAGCAACTGAATGGAAATCAAGTTACTCTGTGGTTATGCTGATGCAATGGAGATGATCAGTCTCTGGTCCCTGTCCTGAACAGGGACACTCTTCCTGCAATCAGATCCTTGTGCCTGGGTGCTCACTGATGTCAGTGGGGATCTACAAAGGTGCAGGGGTTTGCTTGTAAAGAGCTGATTCCAAGACTGGAGCCTAAGACACCCAAACGTAGAAAATGAAGAGAAAAGGAGAGACAACGGTTAAATTTATTGCACGGTCACATACAATTTCTTAAACATAAATATACAGTTTTTCTGTCACAATCTTAGGTGCACATTTGTGTCCATCTTGTAGCAATGCTTCTTACCGTGCATGTGGTATAAGAGTTCTCAAATGATTCCATATTGTGCCATTTATTTTTGTACGGCTTTCACTCTGATGCAGATCTTTAACATGCAACATTTTGTTTTCAGTAATTCTCCCTCACGTAACAGGTAGTATTGGTTTTGAATCTTCCTTCGCTGTGTCCCATGGAGTCTCTCTTTTTCACCATAGGGCAGTGCCAGTGAGGCTACTTTGGTTATGTTGCTTGCTGCCAGAACAAAAACAATCAGACGTGTCCAATCAGAAAACCCAGAACTAACAGAGGCACACATCATGAGCAAGCTGGTGGCCTATGCATCTGATCAGGTGAGTACATCTAAAAATGACACTGGGAATTACACTCCTTGAAAAATGCAGTCACCCTGCTATACAGATTACTTAGATTGTAAACTCTATGGAGTAGGGATCATCTTTTCATTCCGTGTTTGTACAGCACCCCAGTGTGGTCCTGGTTCATGACTGAAGCCCCTAGGTGTTACTGCAATACAAACAATAAATAATAGCAACAGGTGAAAGCATTGTACTATATGTTACAGATTAACAGCCCAATGTTGCCTCCCTTCCTCACACCTAGTATTTATTTTATTCTGCAAGGAATCCCTTTGTAGTGAATGAAGATACTGTTTATGGAGTAAGGTGCTAATCAACATGAGTAAGTGTGGCCAATAAACTAACTGATTCGAATGTTGAGACACAAAACGCTGCACTGTATGAGTTATAAACATACCAGGCTTCGTACCTGAAAAAAATGCAGTGGGTTTAAAAATAAACTTACTAAAATCAGAGAGTATCAATCCAAGTTTGCCCAACATAATCCCTGTTTTCTATCTGTGAACACTATTTAGCAGATTTACTTAACCTATGAATTCTCAGCATGGCCACGATCATGAAAAGCTTCTACCATGCATGAAAGCAAACTTTGGCCTTCCGGTTCAGCTGTGCTTGCATTTTAAAACTGCTAATCCTAACAAAGGGGGCCAGGAAATGTCACTTCTTCCAATAAATATGACATTTTATTATCTAAATGTCAGTGAGATAGGAGGAATGCTCCTACTACTTGATATTTAGTTTGAACTAATCCACTGGTTACAGTGCATTAAAATGCCCAGACTTCAGGTTTCACTGGACTTTACCATCACTGTATATTTAGACACAATATCATTTTAAAAGGGCACCTGCTCTTTATTGGGGGTGGGGAAGGGGCGTATTATAAGGCCATATGTGGGAACAGTCAAGATGTGAGAAGTGGGGAAGGGTCCTGATGATTCTTAAAAGCCATGATACAATTGGTCCTTTTTCTCTTTGGAGCTCTAGAGTGCGTGCTGTGCAGATTGCCAGACACAGATCCCTAAGTCTAATGTACTACTAAGCAGAGCCCCATTGTTTGCCTTTCTTTTTGTTGTAAATGGCTGATCTGAAATGGAGGCTGACAGCCCTCTGTGCCTGCTGAAGGTCAGGGGATTTTCTGTCTGCAGAAGGATTCGCCTTAAGACATGGCTGACCTTTCAAAGCAGATCGTTGCTGAGCTTGCTGCTCCTTCCACATTAAGAACAGACCTGTGTGACCCACTGCTCAGTAATCCAAAAGGAATGAAAAACTAAAACAGCCTCCTGGGAGGGAGACAATGCATGTATAGACAAACACAGTGCAAGATGGGGGTGGAGGGAGACTAAAAGCATGTCAAGTGCGTTCCTGCACAAGATACTGTACTTTGCATCTTATCAAACCAATTGTCCCCCAAGAAAATTCCACTGTAGAAATAGGGCCACTGCAGTAAATGAGAGTTTGCCATTGACATCAGAAAATGCAGGATGTAGACCATAGAGTAAATACTGGAAAATTAATATTGTCATGTGTAGCAGGATCTGTAACTGTGTAATGGCTATATAGGCAGGGCTAAATTAGGTCCTGGCATAAGAGGACACAACTCTCATTGACTAGAGATTTTTGCATGGACAACCCCAATTCTATTGCATTGTGGATCTCATAAAGTATTACGTGTGGTTTGTTAGAATTAAAAACAGGTTTCTGTGGAAGGTTCGTGTTTTAAATTTCACCCATTTAATTGCAGGCCCACTCATCAGTGGAAAAGGCAGGATTAATTGGTGGAGTGAAGATTAAAAATATCCCTTCAGATGATAAATTCAGTGTTCGTGGATCAGCCCTAAACAAAGTTTTGCATGAAGACAGAGCTGCTGGTCTTATCCCATTCTTTGTAAGTACTGGCTTGAACAATCTTACTTGTGGATTTAGTGCATCTGATAGGCCACTTTTACGATGAGCAGATGATACTGTATGTAATCTAAGAACGTATAGATCTGCACACTAGCTAGAATATGAACATTCCATGAATGTTCTACACAGTACATGAACTTTGCATACAGTCTCTTTTTTTTTCTTTTTACATCGGGGCAAGGGGGCAGGGAAGAAAAGAAAATAACTGAATTCCCTAGGCACTATGGAGGCTTAGGAGACATTTCTTTGCACAGATGGCAACTCGTGTGTGTAATGGATTGCCAAATAGAGGCTATATCTTTGAATAGAACTAAAGCAGAGAGAGAAGATGCATTTAAAGGGGGTGGGGGGATGTTAGACTAGACAGGTGGATTGATGTGGGTGAATATCTTGACTTTCTTCTATCCTGAAATAATATGTTATTATCTTTTACACTGGACTTCCAAACTGCAATTGTCACAAATGTGTGTATTTATTTTTGAGTTTATGGGTTGCATGTAGGCGTTTGTCAGAAAAAAATACAAAATCAACACCCGAAATGACACAATGTCAAATGTAAATATCAGCAAACAGCCAGAACCCCTCCCTAGACCATGAGACTCAATGCTACTTTAGCAAATAAATAAGCTCATGGTGTGCCTTGAATGTCAGCAAGGTGAGACTATATCAGACTGTGTGTGTGAGAGAGAGAGAGAGAGAGACTGTATCACCTGTCAATAAGATGACAAACGTCAGTAATGAGCTATAGGTCACCACTATTGACTTTAACATTACTTTCCTTTCCCATCAGAATTCAAGGATAGTGAACAGTGTTCATATTATGTGATCTTTCAGACTGAATACAGTTGTCTTTATAAAGTGTAGTCACTTTGAGTGACTAATGAAAAATAGCACCTTCTCATTCAGAGCATCTGTTCCTTTTGTAAATTCACAATATCATGCAATCACTTTCAACTACAATATGTTTTTAGTAATTTTTTTCTCCTGTTATCCCTGAAGAATTAATACCGCTGAGAGAGTGAACTGTAGTCTATTATCATGCATCAACAAAATTGTTTGCTAATTGCCAATAATTTACACCTGTGCAAATCTGCTGAAGACAATGGAGCTGTACAGGTTTATGTACAGAAAGTGTAATATGGCCAGTAGAACTTTTATCAGTAGTGATGACAGTGAAGGGTAAAGCCCATCTTGGCTCTCACAGTCCAAGTTGAGTTTACAGGGCTGACAGAAAAAGCCCTGTCTTATCATCTGAAGAAATTTGATATGGAAATTATTAGAAGGCTGCAAACGTGCAAGCCCAGAATTCCATTTTTACAGAGCTTCTGATCAGAGCAGTCTTATTTGATTCAAGGTAGCCTGTACTTCATCTTCTCTGTTTACGTAAGGTAAAATTTCCAAAACGACCTACGTGATTTAGGCTTCTTAGTCCCATTATCAAAAGTGATTTAGGAACCTAGGTGTCAATGAAAGTCCGTCTGAAGTCACTTTTGAAAATTGGACTTAGAAACTTAAATCACTGGACACTTTGGAAATCTTATCCTTCGTTTGCTTGCTTATTTGTTTGTTTGATTTATTTTGATTGCCTTGGGCTCTGACTTTGTGGTATGTTAAAAGACCATGGCACGGGCCCAACAGACGTTTCACAAGTGTAGGGGGATGCTGTTTTCCTGCCTTGGAGAAAAGGAATTGAGTAATCTTGAGATGGCCAAGTGAATTCCACCAATTGCCTTCCAGTGGAAATAAGACTCTTGTCCAAAATGAAGGCACTATCACTAAGGCTGCTCACATGAATTTACTTCTGCCATAGAATAATAGAATATCAGGGTTGGAAGGGACCTCAGGAGGTCATCTAGTCCAACCCCCTACTCAAAGCAGGACCAAACCCCCATAGTTGCCCCAGATCCCTAAATGGTCCCCTCAAGGATTAAACTCACAACCCTGGGTTTAGCAGGCCAATGCTCAAACCACTGAGCTATCCCTTCCCGCCTCATAGAACCTGCTGCAGAAGAAATGCATTTGTAATGGAGATCTCAGTTCCCTCCACTGGGGCAAATACAGCACAGCAAGTCATATAAGCAGCTTTTACATGCAATGTGAAAGTTTTTAGCTGGTTTGGTTTGGTTTAACAATTATATTAGGCTGTTCTGATTTTTTTAACAGCATGCTTCAGTGTTTTGTTTCTCCATTTTGTACACACAGTGCAATTCTGCATCATCTCTCCATGTGCTATCAGAAAGTTAATTGAGTTGCTTTGTTGCTCAAACCTCATCTACACACCCACAATGGAACTCTCCTCATAAATATTCACCATCTATTAATTTTTGCAGCTGTGGGAAAGGGAAATCAAATCATCTGTTTACAGATTCAATGACACTGTTACAAAGGGTGTCTTTTTTTAAACTATATGGTGTCTCCACTGTTTGCTTTGCTGTGCAATGCAAGCCTTGAAAGGAAGCAAAGGCTCAGCCTGAGTTAATACGGCCAGTGTCAGCCCTTCCATTTATTTGTATACATAAAACATCTCAGCGAGGATTAGATAAGATCTCATTATCCTTACTGCTGGCCTCCTAACTGAAAGGTATGCTCATTCTCTCTCATACTGGGCAGTAGCCCATGCACCCCATTCATGCTCCTTTTCTGCTCTTCAAGTTCTTTTGTTCTTGAGTAATTTGGGGCTATTTTATTTTGTTCCTGCCACAAAGATACGCATGTTACTAAGGAAACACCTTCCACCACCTTATTACTCACCTCTTCTTCACCGATCTTTCTCTCAAGAGCGAGATGCAGTGTCAAAGCAGAAAGTTCTGCAAAAGGATCCCTGACTGAAGAGAGTTTGTGACAGCATATTGATCCTTCCATGTCTATACTTACAAGCTTACAGTAAGATCGCTCCTTAGCCGTGTTATGCCAACGGGAGAGAGCTCTCCCTTCAACATCATAAAACCAGCTCAACGAGTGGTGGTAGCTATGTCTGAGGCAGAGCATCTCGCACAGACATAACACTGTGCACATGAGCGCTTATGCTGGCAAAACTTATGTCGCTAAAGTTTTGCTGACATAAGTGCGAGTGTGGACATGGATCTGGGTTGCCACTAAGTTCATGCAATCTCTTGAGCAAAAATGATTTAATAGGGAGTATGGAAAAGGAAAATAAAACCCTGTGTTTTATGGGCCGGATTCTCTTCTCAGAGGTACATGTATAAATCAGGAATAATTCCATTACAGTTAATAGAAATATAAGGAGAGATTCAGACTCATGTGTTTACTGGGCCTGATAGGAAACAGGAGATCTAATTAAAATAACTTGGTAACAGTGTTATAGCTTTTTCAAATAAATAAGGTTTGGTTAACAGACCTGTTCGGCATTAAAAAAAAAAAAAAAAAAAGAATCTTTTAACTTATATCCACCACTGGTGTCTTTTAGCACGAGCGATTTATTCATTGGCACTTAGCACAAACTATAGTAAAAATTGGGAGCAAGTCCGGAGCAGTAGTTTTTATTTGCTTTCCCCAAGTTCAAAGCTGTGTATATTTCAATTACAAATGGTGTTTGCCAAAGTCAATGCACAGCTATAACTCAACAAATTAAAACAGTTGAGTTACACAGGCTATTGACAAACAAATGGGCCCGATCCCATGAGGTGCTGAGTGACTCCTGAGAGGAACTGAAATTGGCAGGAGTTGACGGCACTCAGCACCTTGGAGTGAGCCCCAAACTTGGCCAGTATGCTAAAGGTGCCCAGCTCTGCAGTTGGGCTCCAATTCAGCAAGGCACTTAAGCACGTGCTGAGATCCTATTGACTTAATTAGGACTTAAGCATATGCTGAAAGTTAGGTGTTTTAAGTGCTTTGCCTTAGGCTCTCAAATTGAGATGACGATACCTAAACTAGATGTCTGAGTGCTAGTTTGAGTGTCCAAATGCGCAACACGGTGCATTAACTTAGGTTCTAACAAGTTGGAAAACGACATCCGTTTAGGTGGTATAAGTAATCTGCGAGAATATTGACTTTCATAAGCCAGTACAGATACATGACAGCAGCTGGTATCTATGTTACAATATACTTCAAAGAGCTATGGCAGTGTACTGCTGCTGCAATACGATCACCTTCTTGTTGACTAACGGCCCAGCAGAGACACTCTGTGGCTCTAGCCGAAACCGCTCTGCTGAGTGATGATTTACAGGATATGCACAAACAGAGACGTGGTATCCAGACCACTTTGGATGGTGATCGTATCAGAACTAGCCTGCTGGAGGTGCCAGCTTTCAGATGAGTTGCAAAACTGAGGTCTTGACCACAAATGACCATCAAAAATTGTAGATTTCACAAGAGTAATGGTACTAGTGCCATGCCCTGGCCGAATGCGAGTTTGTCTAGCTGAATTCCCCCTGCACTTTCAGTTGGACAGGGCATCTTTGCTTTCTGCCTAGAAGGTGGCACTGCAATGTGCTACATTCCACTCCAGAAGTAGCTGTATTACAAAGACAGGCACAGTTATAATCATTGTTAACTATTTTATTAATACAGATCCCAATATGATGAGCTTAGTACAGAGGGAGGGGGGGGTGCAGGGGGATGGATAGCTAAATTAATAGCTCTCTAGTTTAGCAACTTCATGGTAGTGATTTTGAATTGAGTGTATAATATCCTGAGGGTTTTTTTGTGTTTTTTTTTAAATGGGTCTTGTATTTGCAGTAAAATGATAAGAAGTTTAGTATTCAAAACTCTGTGTCAGGTCTGAAATCACCTTGTGGGCTCCTTTCACCCCTCCACAATTTTCGAAGCTGGGATAAACCAAGCTGAATTTAGCTCAATGTGCATTGTTCGTGTGTTAACATGAATAAATATGACACAGAGATCACTGATAATCAATTCTTAAAGTATGTCACATGCTTTAGTTTATTTAAATTAAATGAGCTTTCTTGGTTATTCTTATTAAGTCCATTGCATTAACCAATAATCTCACTACTTTGATACCTCTGTAGGTTTTGTATGATAAACCCTATTCCTTTATTGATTCTCATAAAATGTACATAGCTGACGTCTATAAATGCAAGTAGGCAGATACTAGCTGTGGGCAGAGCAATCCCCCTTGTGTATTCCCCAGTCTCCTGGAGTTGTGGACGCAGTGCTCCCTGAGGTTTATAATACAAACCTGCAGGGCATTATAAATATTTGTGCAGGTTCAGGTTATGTATTCAGGAAAGTACTACACAAGGTGACTGACGCAAGTATTTGGCTGCTTTACATCAGAGCAAGGGCTGTGTTATATTTACACAACATGATCTGAAAAGGATAATGCCTTGGGCTCTTCGGAGCTCTCAGTTCCATTTCTGAGATGCAGCCTGTCCCCGCCCCCTGCACAAATGTGATTATGCTGTTGTAATATGGGTTACAAATTGGGTTAGATTCATGGTTTAGTACTGATGCAGGGTAATGAGACCCTGAAGAGAGCAGATGCTGTTACTTTAAGTAGTTTCTGGGGATTAATGCAGGTGGCTTTGGGGTTCATGTACCTACAGAAAAAACATTAAAATTATTTAAACAGCTGAGCCATTCTTTATGGAACAAGTCATTATTCAAACAACTGAGCATATGTATTGAATGTATACAATCTCTGATTATAATGGCACATTCCTTAATGTGATTATAGAGAGCATGTTTGTAGCTTAGTGTAATCATATTATGGTGCTGACACCAGTACACCGTATCTTTCAGCTGGTTGAATTGAGCTCAGCAATAATCTTGCTTACCTTTATTGTCCCTCACTAACCACTGACACCTCTATTGCACCCTCTTGGTGAAGTCCAGCAACCTAATTATAATACATACGTACAAAGAAGCAGAGTTATGACTGCGTGTGCCACAGTAATTTGGGGATTTCCTGACTTGGGTCCTTAACCGTTGAACCCGAATACTGTAATCATCATTCTTTACAACCAACTTGTGCCCATGCACCGACACAGCCCTGTTTTCGTAAGGGTGGTCTCTCTTTGTTAGTGCCCAATTTGCACCTGCACAATTTGCATCCCTATTTTTGTACCTACAGTTCAACTGAAGGTGCCGAACTGGTACCTGCACCTCTTCCAGACTGTAGGAGCAAATCAAATAGCCAGCAATGCAAATATTCTAGTTCATTTTCAGTTCATCTGTGGGTACAAGATCTGGGTTCATACTACACCAGTAAAATAGAGACCAAGCCTCAACCCTTTTTAAAATGTACCCCATTAAAGGCAGGGGTTCACACCTGAGATGCTTCAACCTAAAGAGGGATTGCAAACAGGGACCGGAGTGCTACAACCACCCTGTCTTTCACATATTTCCAAATGAGATATGGGACCCAGGGTGGTCCCAATATGGAAAGGTGATGGTGATATGGATAAATAAGAACTCTTACTTTTGGTATACAATTTTATCTCGATGTGTCAATAAATCCCCATATCAATGTGTTTGCCAGATCCTTTGTTTTCAGAACCACATTTGTTTCCAAACAAGGTTCACAATAGTTAGATTGAAAAGACCTGTTAGATAAGCCCTGCCAAATTTTAGTCATCCATTTGCCTGTAGCAATTCTTTTATGGTTGACTATTCTTATAATTATCATTGTCATGACCGGGTTGAGGGAATAAGTTCTGTGCCTGGTCTGGAGATTTTTCATGGTTTTATGAGGCTGCATGAAGTCATGCAAGGGGAGGATATGGCCCCCTTAGAGGACTGTATTACTAGGTATAATTAGGTTGGCCATTGCCACGATATCTGAGCACTTCCCATAAAACATAAACACAACAAAAATCTCTTTTCTAGCCGTACCAGCAGGAATGAACATTAACGTTATTGTTGGAGATACATATAATATGGATGCAGATGTGTCTTGAGATGACTATTGCCCTGTGTTTTTAAAAGCCTACTCATAACGTAGTATTTGGTCTTCTTTCTTTCAAGCTTTGATGAGCAGTGCAATAGTTACCAAAATTGACATTTGAAGTTCTGTTGCTGACCTCTCAGTTAGTATGAGAGCTAAGCAAATATTTCCCATCAAAATTTGATGAACAGTGAATGGCCTTTTTTTCTGCAAGTCATTTGAAGTTTTCCATTTAAAAAAATAAATTTAACGGAATGAAATTTTTCCTTTTTTTAGGAGAAAAGACACCTAGGCTTTAATATGTCTAACTTAATATGTGTTAAAGTATACACTGCTTGGACTACACTACAGTCTTTAAAGGTTTTAGAATGTGTTTCCTAATGCCTGATAACAAACCTGTAAATCTTAGTCTATCCAGAGCCTAAATGAGAGGAGACTGAGGCTCGAGGTATAAGTAGATTCAATTGCAAATCTACTTAACAGCAAACTTAAAACTACTCAATATGGATGGATATGCCACTGTATGTTTATTTTAGTAATGGGAAGTTTTGGAAGGTCTCATCAGATTAACACCTAAAATGTAGGCTGCTTCTCCTTACATTAACCTTTTAAAGTCTGCAAATTGAAATCCTGCCAGATTTCCTTTACTTCCCGTTTCAAGTTAGGCTATTCTTTCAGTATTCTGGCCTTTCTCATTACATTTTACCACTTAGTTTCTTGTCCCAGGCAGAAACAGGAAGGTAGGAGGCATGGGTAATTTGTGGGTGGGGGAATAACCAGACTCCAAAAAATGTTGGAATGTGTTATGGGCAAAAGTTCATTAGTTTGGTTCTTTTTTATCTTTCCGTAGTTTGCATCTATATGTCTATTACTCCCGAGGTGGATTACTAGGTGATGATTAAATGTGCATGTTCTATTGATAAATATTTTTATTAGAGTACATGCACATTTCACACTGTGATGACATGTTGGTAAATTTGTGAGAGCATAAATTGGTGTAATTTATTGACCAATGCAAGCCAGAAGGACGAGGTTGTAGAAGGGAATCAACCAATAGTAAGAAGGATGGTCTTTGGCTTAAGGCACTGGACTGGGATTCAAGACATTTGGGTTCCGTTCCTGGACCTGTCACAGACTTCCTGTGAGACCTGAGAATAATGAATCACTTTGGGCCTTAATTCTCCAGCTACAAAGAAGGAATAATAATACTTCCTTTGTCTACCATATATATTTAGACTGTAAACTCTACAGTGCACAGACTGTCTCTCACCATGTGTGTGTATATGCAGCACCTAGCACAAAGGGGCCCTCATTTTCATTGGGGTTTCTATATGTTTATATAGATCAGAATAACAGTAATATACAAGATAAACCAGCCCCCATACTTTAGCTTACACTGTCCTGTTGGTTGCTTTTACTCCACATTGTCACTCCTCCTTAGGGGAAGTTAAAACAACTTACATTCACCCACTTATATCTTCTTGCTAATGTGAAACTTCCTCCATTATTTACATCACATCTTCATTGGCCCATTGTGTTCATAGTGCTGCGGACAGTTTAGAAGAGAGAGACGCACACGTATAGGGAAGAGTCAGGGAAACTGAGTCTAAGTGTTTAGTATGACCCTGGAAGAGAAGAGCCTGTGAGAAAATCACCAGCCTGTGATATTAGCAGTAATTTATCCTTAAACCACATTCTGAGCTCCGTTATACCAGCATAAATCAGAATGAATTTCTTTCACTGCAGTAGAGCTATTATAGATTGACACCTGCGTAGCTGAAATTAGTGTTTGGAGAAATATGTGGAATCAAAATCCTTGGCGCAAACTCCCATAAACTCTGGAACCATCTTGCATCCAGAACGGCACACTGCAGTTCAGTTATTGGGTAGGTATTGATTAGAAGGCTGTAATTGTGTGTGGGTATTCAGAAGTCCTAAATCACCAGAGTTCTTTCTATTCCTTGAGGTCTTTGCGGCTTGCTGTTTCTCAGTTGGTAATTGTCTTTGCTGGAAAATTTGATTTTCCTTTTGTTTTTCTCTTCAGTTTTGTGCAACACTCGGAACCACACCTTGTTGCTCCTTTGACAGACTGTTAGAACTGGGTCCTATTTGTAAGTCATTCCCTGCTGCTTCTCTCTAAAATTTAAATATAAGTTACAGTCTTTTGTTTCAGAGTAACAGCCGTGTTAGTCTGTATTCGCAAAAAGAAAAGGAGTACTTGTGGCACCTTAGAGACTAACCAATTTATTTGAGCATAAGCTTTCGTGAGCTACAGCTCACTTCAGTCTCTTGTTGATTCTTTTCCTGGGTGTTATGCAGTGTCGGTGTCCAAATGCAGTAATTCTGTCTATAAATCTTTCACTTGCAGTTGTTTTCCAACATTGCTTCAAGCAGCAAACTTGTATTTTTAGGCCAGATCACTAATGGGTAAGAAAGATAGCCATAGCTTCAAAGTTTTTTTTTAAAAAACCCTCCTTTGTGGCAACATATTTTAGGACCGCAAAATGCTTTCATGCTTGACTTTGTGGCTCCTTTCTTTGGTCTGTTCTGCATGGGTCAGAAAAGCTCTACCTGAAGCAGATTGAAAAAAAGCTGAACTCTGTGTCCTTCCATGTGCCCCTCTATCACTTTGCATCAGTCAGGACACACAGGTGAATGAGGTGAGACACAAGGATGGATTTAAGTGGCAGGCCGCAATTTTAGTAACTTATCACTGTTATCTGTCCTGTCTCCCATATACCAGGTATTTACATGAGTCCACTGCAGGGCTCCCACCAGATAGCCAATAACTAGGGGTAGACCTTCCTCAGCCTACCTCTAAGGTTCAGCTCACTCTCCTAAATCCTCTCACACTGCCTCCTGTGAGGCGAACACAGCATACCAAAAGAAGGACCTCATTCCTCAAAAACTTTGTCTCCCCTTTTCCCAAGGCCTAAGGTCCACCAGTGAAATCACAGATCTATTTCACTCCTGGAAGCTGGCTCTTTTGGCCTCTTATTTGCACTTATTTGCACCAGCCACAAGTTGCAACAAGCTAAACAGTCACACAAGTTATTGTTATTAAATTCTAAGTTCTAGTCTATTGAGCCTTGACTACGCCTTCATAATGCTGTGAGGTCAGCAAAAAATCCTACCAGGCCTCTGCCAATTTAGCCCAATGGAAAAATTCCTTCCTGATCCCCAAAACAAGGGGGTGATCAAACCTGCAGCATCCTAATAAACACAGCTCCTATAATACAGGGAGGGAGGATGAGGCACTAAAAATGGAGCAAGAGGCTCCAAAAACTTCAGTCCAGGATTTAAATTAACAGTATTGCCAATATCAGGAGATCAAAAGTCATGAGTCAGACCCCCCCCAAAATCATGAGAGTGGCCCCAAAGTCATGAGCCTTTTTAAAGAAAAAGATTCTATTGTCTGTCTTTTGAGTTTCTTTACTCTCCCTGCCTGACCTCAGCATCTGCAAAACAATTGATTGGATAAAATGAGCTTGGCCCTTGCTGCAGGAGCTCTTACTCCCCTGTTTGTTCATCCCCTGCCCACTAATTAATCCTGACCACAAGTTTCCCCCTCAGTTCAGCCCCCAACAGCCCTACCACCTCAGTTTACACACCCTCCCCCAGCCCAGACTCAGTTTAGTTTCCCCAGCCCCCATCAATTCAGCCCTTGCATCGGTCTCCATCCCCATGGTACGGCCCTACCCTCCAAGTCTCACCTCTGTTCCTCCTGGGGCTCTTGCCCGCCCTGCTCCCAGGCCTGGAGGGCTGCAGCAGGGTCCCCACTCCCCTTTCCCAGGATGGGGTGCAGATCTAGAGGCTCTTCACGCCCTCTACTCCTTCCCAGGCTGGGTGCTTCAGTGGGGAGGAGAGGAGCAGATGCACCTTCCTGTCCATATTTCTCACAGGAGGGGAAGGGGAAGAGGGAGTGAAGTTGTTCTCAGCTGCTAGGGTCTTTCCTCTCTCCTCACCATCCGCATAGGAAGGGAGAGGAGGGGAGAGACTCTGCCAGCTTCCAGCTGTGTGGAGTTTCTTGCATCATCTCAAGACAGGATCCGACACCCTCTGAAATCCCTTCACTTGTGATAAAATCATAAGAGTTGGCAATACTGGATTAATGAAAGAGGGGAGTAAGGAGCCCCGTGGCTCCCATCTTCTTCTGGCTGGCCAACGGGAGGCAGAGAGCTTATAGAGCAGGGGCCATCCCTGCATTCCTCCAGCATGTGCTCTCCCCCCTTTCCCTCAGGGACTGTCCCCCTCCCTACAGGGCCACTCAAGTTTTCCACCATTGGATGGTGTGGATGGCATTTTTTGTCTCTTTGCTTCCCGCCACTATAGAGATGAAAGAAGTAAGAAGCAAAGGGACAGAAGTATTTTCCTTTCCCCTCCTCCCACTTACCCACTAGGGGCTAGAGCAGGAGAGGTTGCACTGACTAGATTGAGTCATTGACTCCTATTGCAAGATTGTTACCTGACAACTTATGAACAGCTTTGGCCTTGAACACGTGCTCACTGCATAATGAGAGTGACATACAGGTATAAAGTACACTTGGGGTAGCAATATGCCTAGAACAAACTTTTTGTAGTTATAAAAAGCCCTGAATGCTTTGATGGTTGCAATTTTTCATTTCACTATTTTGGGCATCTTCAAAGAAGTTTTGGGGGCACAGGGACATTGTATGAAAATCCAGAACTGTCCTGGTAAAACTAGGATGAGATTTAATCTGTTGTGAATTCATCCGGGGGGACGGGGACGGGGGACAGAAAGTGCATGTTGTCCTGTTTGAACTCTTGAGTTGTAGTAATTTGTTTCTGTGTATGCAGTACAAACAGACTTCAGGGCTTCAATCTGTTCCTTATCCTGCTCCCCTAGGCTGTTTGTCATCGTTGGCTTAACAGCTAGCCATGAATATGCTGTTCAGGAAATTGCCTGCTGACTCAATATCGTAAAATAGGGACACATCACATTAGGGGTAGAACAACAAGCTGTAAATGTGGAGCTTTTTAAAATCACTTTTGGTGAAATTGCCCTTGTGCAGAGGGGTCCAGCCCAAGACTAGTGTGCTGCTTGAAGCACAAGCCTTTGTCCTGGCCCCTCTGCACAGGGGTGAATTTCCCCCTCAGTGTACATATGTATAAGTCATAAAATGAGGGACACACCCAGAGCCTGGTGAAGTCAGTGCAAAGCAACAATAATAATCTCAAACATTTGTTCCGATAAAAGCTGAGAATTAACTTTGAGGGGATACACAATTTTTAATGTGTTTTTTGCAAATATTTATGCAAATGAATTTTAGTTCACAAGAATCCAAGTACTTGTGTAACTAATCTTTGCACGTGTATACTGATTTGAATGTGTGTGTGTGTGTTTATATAATGTAAAAAAAATATGCACCAGAAGTGTTTGGTGGCTATTGTGACAGATTTTGTCGGCTTGTTTCAATGTCGTCCAGTCAGGGACCAGAAATATTACCATATGACTTACTGTCAATAAACAGTCGCATAGTGTGAACAGTGAGATCCATATTCTGAAATATTTTTGCAAAAACAATTTACTGAATAATTTAAGGTAACAGATTTGTAATACGCCAAAGTTTGCTCAGGGGTAAGAACAAAGTTTATTCATAGTTTAATATCCCAAAATAAATTGGTTGCTGTAAATAGTTTGTTCACTGTGTTAGGTCCCTGGAAACTCATGTCATATAAAAATGTATCATCTTGGAGCTCTCTCTATTGCTAAAAGGGGCCAGCAAAGTTAAAACTCGTGTTGCTATTCCAGTTACAAATATTGAGAGCTTTCTTTATAGAAATTAATTAATGTCACTAGTTTTTTTTAAAGAATACATATTTTTAAGCATTCTGAATTGATCATAAATTGAGATTGTGTATTGCAAGTTACTAGTAAATGGAGTGTCTAAGGGCTCAATCCTGTTAATAGAACTGTGGAGATGGGAAGGGTCTGTGTGCATGGATTCTTTAGCAGAACAGAGGCCTATGTGATGTGACCTCTTAGAGCTCTGTCCTAATTGAATTGATAAAATATGAATGGCAAAGAAAAACAAAATTGCAGGGACTGCAAATCCCCTCTAGTCACTTGGTCTAATGCAAATTAAGAAAAAGTTTTAAAGAAAAAAGCTGTCTTTGCTTATTTAATTTCCTTCATTTTTTTCCAGGCAATAAGGAGAATATCTGGATGCATGTTGATGCAGCATATGCAGGGAGTGCTTTCATCTGCCCTGAATTCCGACATCTTCTAAATGGCGTGGAGGTTTGTGATGCTCCCCAGGGGTATTTAGGGTTGCGTGGCACCTCAGCACCACCTACCCTTAGTGTGAAACAGTCTTGTCTGTGCCTGCTGTGCATTAGCTCCCTGAAACCAACAACCTCTGGCAGTAAAAGCCTTCCTGGCCCCCCGCAGGCCTCGCTCTCTTTGTACAAGAAGTGGTAGGCACACACCAACTCCTGAATACTCAGAGTGTTCCCTGAAGTTTCCAGCCCCTTATCCACTGGACGGCTCACAGTATTGCCAGAGCTGCTGTTCCCACAGGACAGGACATACCAGCTTGTAAGATTCAACTGAGGACCATCACTTTGTTTAACATAGGGGAGGGTGTGTGTAAAAAATGTATACATCTAGGAATAGAGAATGTAGGGCAGTCTTACAGGATGGGGGACTCTATCCTGGGAAGCAGTGACTCTGAAAAAGATTTGAGGGTCGTGGAGGATAATCAGCTGAACAAGAGTTCCCAGTGTGACTCTGTGGCCAAAAGAGCTAATGAGATCCTGGGGAATCTCCCATAGGAGCAGAAGGTTATTTTACCTCTGTATTTGGCACTGGTGTGACCGCTGCTGGAATACTGTATAGTGTGTCCAGTTCTGGTGCCCACAATTCAAGAAGGACATTGATAAATTGGAGAGGGTTCAGAAAAGAGTCATGAGAATTATTTTGGGGAAGGTCTATGGCCTGTGTTATACAGGTGGTCAGACTAGATGATCACAATGGTCCCTTCTGGCCTTAAAATCTATGAATATTGGAAACAAATGGTTACGTGGAAAACAAAATCATAACATGCTTTCTAGACACTAAATGTGACGAACAAGTTACTTTAATCTAAAGCTGTTTATCTCACCCAAAGTTCTCTCCAGCGTACACCCCTTTTTTTCTTTAATATGGAGATATACCTATCTCATAGAACTGGAAGGGATCTTGAAAGGTCATTGAGTTGAGTCAAGTCCCCTGCCTTCACTTCAGGACCAAGTACCATCCCTTATTTTTGCCCCAGATCCCTCAAGGATTGAACTCATAACCCTGGGTTTAGCAGGCAATGCTCAAACCACTGAACTATCCTTTCCCCCGTGCCCCCACCTTTCATGAAGCAAAAGTGCTATCCTCTTACTTCCTCAGAAAAGGCTGCCAGGGCATCCCTTTCCTCCCTCCCCAAATATATTCAAGTAAATATTTGATATGTACCTCAAGATAAGGTTCTCTCCCCTGCTGTGTTCACTGTCCTGTTAGTTCTGTCTTACAAGCCTTCATTTGCATTCAGTTCAGACTGGAGATCGGAGACCCACTGTAAACAAGATAAGACTCAATTTAGTTGTAAACAAATAGATGGAGAGACATCTCAGTTTGACAGCAAATCTGTTTGTCACTCTTCCTTGTGTCTAATACCTTGATACAGAGCTTAAGAACCTGTTTTCAGTGTATATCCATAACTCCTTACATAGTCCTGTACATACATTTCACAATTATATTGATGACGAATGTGACACTGGCTTTCATTTCAAACCTCACATAAAATTCTTTAGTCAACCAGAATGTACATCGTAGAATCAGGAGATTCCGGCAACCCTCCTACACACTCTCTTGTCAGTTGGCATTAAGAGGTTCTTGGGTCACAAAAAGTGAACAATATTTTTTGTCTTTTAAAACCAAAAAGAAAGGCTCCATAGATTCTTAAACCTCTACTTTCCTGTGACTGTAACCCAGAATTCATGCTTGATCAAGATGCTGCACTTCTGTACAAAATATCGATAGTGATGGGTAGAAACCAAACTTTGTATAAGTCTGGCCATGCTGGCGAAGAGGATTTCCTTCCTCTGGCACTGTGAAAAGATATTGGAGGGGGCACCATATGTTTGTGTGTTTTACCACGAGCCCTTGCACTCAGCCAGTCTAGTCCCTGTCCCCATCCCACAATGATCCCCAAATCAGCAGAAACGACTCCAAGAGGACCTGGGAGTTGCTCCTTTCTGCAGTTTGAATCTTGATCAGGACTTCTTTTAAGTTCCAAGTAGGGCAGATTATATCAAAATGTTGGACTGTTGATTCAGTCCACTATCGAAACAGGGGTCAGCTGTTAAATTCAATCCAGATCTCCCCTAAATTTAGAGAAAGGGCTGTATGTCCAGTGTTTTGGTTTGGGCTCATCTTAGTCATCATTCAATAAGTTTGTCCTACAGGCTAAGCTACAAAAGGCAGCAACCTAAACTCATAACTATGTTCTTAGGCACATTTGGGAGGAATTTGTTTAAATAAGGTCACATTAAAAGATTTGAGAACCATTGATCCACGTTTGATATGCTCCTCCTGGGAGTGAATCCCCACAGCTGCTTTTAGAGCATAAAATTTGAGCAAAAATGCAGAGTTGAACACAGACAAACTTGCTCCACAGAGAAGCAAAACTTAGCTATGCCAACTCTCACAATTTTATCATCTCAAAAATGGCTTTCATTTCGTCATGGTTACCATGTCAGGTAAAACCATTTCTGCAATCTTTACACACACACACACACACACAAATTTACTGTTCAAAATACCAAGTAGCACTGAATCAACCCAGCCTGAGAAAGGGTGACTTTTGCCTAAGTATCGTGGTAGAGAATATTTTAACATCCTAATTCTATAAAGTTTAAAAAATATAACAACCACTATCTCACCTGTTTTGAAAGTAAGACATAGAAGTATTACTATATTCCTCCTAAGGGACATATACTGTAGGGTTGCCAACCCTTCAGGATTGTCCTGGAGTCTCCAGAAATTGAAGATTCATCTTTAATTAAAGATTGTCATTTGATGAAACCTCCAGGAATACGTCCAACCAAAACTGGCAACCCTACATATAAGGCCAGACTGTGGCTGTGTCTATAACAGACAGCGTTTAATATTTGAAAATGAGTCAGTTGAAATTTTCTTCCAATAACTCTCAGGTTCTTTTTTCTTTTCCTCTTACTGAGTCACTTGGCACCTAGTTGCTCAGATAAGGGTGCTGCAATTTCCTGATTCTCCCGTCACACCATCAGATAAGTCCTTGTCTTCCACATCAGTGGAGAAAATATCTGTTTGGTAAAGACAGAAATTTAAACAGAGCAGCTCTGACAGATAGACTAATAAAGGAGGAGGAAAAACTAACAAACAAAGCATTTCTCTCTCATTCTCTTTTTTTATCAGCAAATGAAGCTTGCTGTAATTTCCTGTGTGGGTTTTATTAATTATTTTTATTGGTTCCTGTAGGAAATGAATCAACATCCATTGCACAGCCAGCATCTGTCAGTGTAGCAACTATTCAACAGCTCTGAATAGATTCCCTACCTCAGATATTAGAAAGATAAAAAACTTCTCCAACATGAGCAACCACTGCCCTTTCACCAAAGATGAGGAAGTTAATGAGAAACAAATGTGAAAAGATAGCTATTAGGTGGCGACTGGTGCTTCAAGATCCCCACTTCTCCTTTGTGTCCCTGATATTCAACATCAATGGCTGCCATAGTACCTAAACTAGAAAACTTTCAACACAAATGTCCTTCATGCCTTTCACAGTATGGGAAGCTTCTATCCTGAATACATGTCGTGCGAAGTTGATATTGTCAAAAATGTAATGTATAGCCATGCATTCTGTGTGGAACTGGTTGAAAGTGGGTTTTTTTGTATAAATTTAGTTTAGATGAGAAATGACTCTTTGACTAAAAGAAAAAAATTTAGGGAAAAAATTATTTTTGACCACCTTTAATTCTGTGTTTAGACGGACTGAAACACAATTCTAGATCAAAATCTATTACCTGTGTGTGTGCGTGCACATATAAAATATATGTGTATGTTTATAATATTAATTTCTCACTCAGTGAAATCTAGGAACTCTTGAGTAGAAAATGGGTTAAAAACCAAAACTTGGGATGTCTTTTGTTTATAATGAGATTTTTTTTGTTTACATTGAGATGATGTTTATATAAGATATATATTAAAATAAAGTTCAAAACATCTATATTAAAAGCACATTATCAATTGCATAAGTCAAACATTTAAGATTTAGGAGATGCCAGAAGTTAGGTTGTCCAAGCACCCTGAATTCTGCTCCCTTGTGTGTATGCATAATGGCTCTGATTCAGCAAAGTGTACTTAAGCATATGTACAATTTTGAGCAAGCATGTAGTCCTGCTGACCCCTGAAGGCTTACATGAGGCTTACGTGGTAGATATTCATTTTGCTGGTCCTCTGTGCAGGAGAAATTTCACCCAGCATGCACATATAACTCTCATTCACTTTAGATGGAGCTACATTAGGTATTATCTTTAAAGCCACTTTTCAGGAAAACATTTAGTTTGTTTTAGTGCTGTCCTGAATCTGGGTGCAATTGGCAAAATTTACAGTGCTTTTATAACTTGAGGACTCTGACCCATATTTTTTCTAATTCTTCTTTTTTTTAACCCTGTCAGTTTGCAGATTCATTTAACTTTAACCCTCACAAATGGCTCCTAGTGAATTTTGACTGCTCTGCTATGTGGTAAGTAATACAGGATATATAAGGTTGTCAGAAATAGTGACCTTTATGGTGAAGCACACTCTTTCTAAACAAGAAAAGGAGTACTTGTGGCACCTTAGCTGAAATAAATTGGTTAGTCTCTAAGGTGCCACAAGTACTCCTTTTCTTTTTGCGAATACAGACTAACACGGCAGCTACTCTGAAATCTTTCTAAACACTTATTCCCTTTTTCACATAGATATATGGAGTTTTGTGTAGTGTTTGCCTGAGTGAATGATTCATAGTAGCATGATAAATTATTTGACTGAGGGGATAGAAAACCAGAGATGGGTCTGAGCCCTGAAGTTTGGAGCTAGACATGAAAATTCAGGGATTCAGATCTATTCCATTTTGTGCCCATCATTTAAAGAAATGAATTGCACATTACACCAAGCTTCTTTCTCTAATTTGATATGGTCTCTCTGAGTCTTGACTGCACACTTTAAAGGCCTTTGTTTATAGAGTCTGGACTTTAGTAGATTCAGAGCGAAGTGATTCAAAAAAAGCCTTTGTCAATGTTTTTCAATGATTTTCATTATTCATGTGTGAGGAGCAAGACTACATTTTGTGTTCCAAAGAGGTGCCACAGAGAAACCTGCAGGTACATTGGGAACACAAAGCAAAATGGCCTAAAGGAAACAATCATCATCACAAGGAGAATAATGAAAAAATTCTCATAACAAATAGTCCCATAGCTAGGACTTAGTTTTGTTGGGAAACTCTAAGTGTACTGCCAGCATCTTGTAGTCACCCACCATCTGATTATATTGATTACCAAAAAGAGCTGCTTAGGAAATGGTAAATATTTTCCATGAAAAATTTCAAAAGAAACTTTTTTTAAAAAAATCATTTTTTAAAATAGTTCAGTTTTCCAAAACTGGGTCGGGGGGGGGGGGGGAATGCCTTTCCGTTTTTTGTTGAAAAACTAAAATTTTCATTTTGGAAAAAAAGGCTATTTTTCATTTAAAAAAAATCAAATGAAAATTTTGGAACAGTCCTAATTATCAATACTTTCCCTCTCTCTTATCTTCAGCATTACTAATGTGTAAAAACATGAGACTTATGTGCCTATGGCTTCATCCCTAGTTACAAATGTACATAACACCATGTAATAGGATTTTTTCAGCTATTAGGTTAGGGTTGCTAACTCTAAACTGTCCAGATCAGTGTCCTACTGCACATGTACTTCTTTTTGGTAGGTATCAGTAGGTTATTATGATTATTCATTACTGTAGCACCTAGGAACCCTCATCATGAACTAGGACCCCCACTGTACTAGATGCTGTGCAAATGCAGAACAGAAACAGTCCCTGTTTCTCATGTTCTGATTCTGCCTCATTCTTACTGGTAGTCACATCTCAATAAAGAGTATTTTGTGGTTTAGAACAAAGCCCCTAGAGTGTAATTATCTCATGATGAGATGTGTGTCTCTGTGTAGACATTAGACGGGAGAAGGGCGGAATTCATTTTCTTGCTTCCCATTCAACTCCCTTTCATGATTCAGAGAACCAAGTGTCCAAGAAGCCACTGATGGAAGTGAGGAAATGAACCATCATATTCTTGGCTTTCTTTCTCAATTCAGTTCTCATAAATTAACGAGCCTTTTATGGCAACAAAAAGTAATAAGAAGAAACTCAGTAGCTGGATTTATGAGCAGTTAGAGCAAACACTTTTCGTTTCTTTGAAAGGAAAGTAGTGTAAATCACAAAATAACTACTGAGTGGTGCAATATCTAGACATTGTTAGAGTATGAATTTGCTCTTCCTTGCACGGACATAAATCTATGGGGTTACAACAATGTAAAACTGGTGTAAGTCAGAGGAGACTCAGGCCTTTAAGAGGAGATTTTCAAAGGCACAAACAGCAGTGAGATGCCTCACTTACAGTTGTGCCTTGGAAAATCTCCCCCTTAATCCCTTCCCCTCATAATTCTGTGAAGCCAAGGTAAAAATATATAAAAACAATTACAAACTCATTTTTTGAATTGTATTGCCCCTACTCTGCCAAAGCCCAGACATTTAAAAATCTGTTTATATGTGTGTATGCGCAATTGCAAAAAATAACCTTAAAAGAATTCACTCAAAATTCCGGGCAACCTTAACTTCGTAAAGACCAGATTCTCTTCATTTTGAATTCTTTACTTGGCAACTTTAACATTTTGAATGTAGTTTTTTAAACCGAATTTACCAGGGTTTGTGGTGGCGGTTTATCATGACACACAAATTCTATGATGTAGAACAACTTTCTAGACAGCACTCGAACAGTAAACTCACACTTTGTGTGTTGGTTTGTGCATAACCCTATGGAATGAGGTAGGGTTCTTCCTAGACTCCAGAGGCATATAGTCTCAGGCCCTGAGGTAGTTTGCAATTCACTGTGGATGGATAAACTATATCTATTTAGTTCTCAGTCCACAAAGCAAGGTCCCTATAAATCTTGTCCAAACCTGGGTGCTTAAAGTTAGGTACATTAATCCTAGTTTAGACCCCTAAATAAAAATAGCCTGACTTTCACACGAGTAAAAACCTGCAGTTCCTGTTGAAGTTAATGGGTGCTCAGAAGCTCTGACAATCAGGCCCCTTTTAGTCAGGTGCCTAAAATTTGGATTTACATGCATAATTTCACACACCCTCCTTTCCTCCAACCTGGGTCTCTGGAGCTGCCTCCAGGGGAAGTAGGAAATGGAACTGCCATCTCATGGGCTTCCACATGAGGGTGGGAGCCACCTCTGTTGGGCTCAGGCAGGGTCAGGCTTAGTTCAACCCACTTCTCCCTATTCCTGCGGCAGTTCTGGCAGCCATCAGGGCCTCTCTTCCTTTCTCTTTAAATGCACTATTAATTAGTAGTTATTTTATTAGTCTAATTTTTTTATTATTAATAAAATGATCCTGTTGATATCAAGAAAAAGCAAAACCACTCCAGCCAGGCCAATAACACTAGCAGCAGAATACCTTCATTTTACTCCTCAATAACACTGAATGATCCCAATGAGACCTACATTTTTATTTGAACCATTCAAATATAACAATGTTGGTTTCTGACCCACAGAAAAGCCTTGGGGGAAACAAACCTCCATACATGAAAGCAACTGTCTCCAGACATATGATCTTCTATGTGTGGGCAGCACAATATTCCATTATTATTCCTGCTGTATTTTCCCCAATAACTAGAAAGGTTTCCTTATTGCCCTACTGGACTACCACTTTGTGTTACTGTTCACATACATTCATTATCTATGTGCTGCTAGGATGAGTTACCCTTCATAGCACTATTGTGGGGCACTTTTTTGTTTGTTTGTTTTCTCTAGCTAATCTTTTGCATCAGTCACTTTCTCTGCCTCATCCTTCCAATGAATCACCTTTCCCATAGATCCAGTTAATCAGTCAAAGGGGGGCGGGGGGTGAGAAGCACTGCTGGAACAATCCAGCACTCCCAAATTCTTCTGCAAAGCAACTGCAGAAGTCTCTTCTAAGCAAAGCTGTGATACTTACTGTAAATGACCTCCTTTAGCAATTTGCTCCATTAGATTTCTCCCTCGGGTTCAAATACAATGGTGTCTACATCTATACACATGCATGCACAGGGCCAATTTCTTATTCTTGCCTGTCTAATCTGCCAAGGCATTTATACTGTAGTTATCTGAGCACTTCAAAACCAAAGCCTGAAATGCATAGGAATCCCTATAATTTTGGTTGTGGGTCTGATCTAAAACCAGAAGGACACATTTCTGATTCCATCAGATAAAAGATCTCACAAAAGCAGCTGTTCTCATAAGATTTTGACTCCGTATAGAGGAAAATCTCATGAGATCTGGGAAGATTTCTGCCACTTTGGGCTGAAGCTTCATGGGAATACATTGCAAGATGTTGGTGCCATTAGGGCCTCGCTTCAGCAATGCACTTAAGCATGTGCTTAAGTCCCATTGATTTAAAAAGGAATTAAACATGTACTTAAAGGTAAGTCTACGCGTAAGTGCTTTGCTGAAGAGGAGCCTGAGGCCAAGCCTGAACCCAAATCCTGAACAAAGGCGCAATACTAGCTGGGAATATATTCACAAAGGTTGGGATTTTCAAGGAGCCTGAGGGCTTGTCTACGTGGCAATTTAGTGTGCAGTAAGCCAGGGTGTGATCTACAGCTCACAATCCTGCCACACACTAACTAGCCAGTTAGACCCTGCTATCATACACTAAAAGGTCCATAGTGCACTTTGAACTACTGCTGTTCCAAAGCATCAAAAGTGCACTAAGGAACTTTTAATGTGTGATAGCAGGGTCCACACAGCCAGTCAGTGTGCAGGAAGCTAGTGTGATCTGGATTCACAACCTGGCTTGCAGCACACTAAATCGCCAGGTTCACTAGCCCTAAGGAAGTGAAATGGGAACCAAGTGCCTAACTCCTTTACGACCCTTCAAAAATCCCAGCCAAACATGTCTAATAATGGGTAAAATTTTCAAAAGCATTTATGTGATTTAGGAGCCTAAGTCCCACTGAGGTTTCAACCTAGACACCTAAGTCACCTAGACACTTTTTAAAGTTTTACCCAATATTTAAACACTGCCATTTCTTTTTACTACAACATCTTAGGCAAGCAATAAGAGTTGTAATGAATATTTATTGAATAAATAAAATAGTGGCACAAACTAGCACTGATATAGTTTGGGATTGGAGACATTTTGGTTATAAATGTTTGTTTAAAAACAAAAAAGTCACTCCAGCTTGCAACTGCACAGAAAAGAGTGGTTGGCACCTTTGATAAGGTCAATTTAATACAGCCACACGGAGAGAGAAGTACATTTTGTATCCCAGTGGTGGGGTTGACGGGTCCTCCCTCAGAGACTCTAAACAGGAAATACTTGTCATTTTGCCTTAGCTACTTGTTAACCACACTGATTTGTTTTGAAATAAAATAGGGATAAAATTCCTACTTTATGTAAGTGTGAAAAAAAAACCACTCCAGGTTAATACTCAGCAAACAAAATCTTGACCCAGAAGTAATTTTTTCTTTTACAATTTTTTTAAATGGCTTAAGTGTTTCAGTTTTCAGGCTTGAAGAGTTTACTGCATACAGGGGGCTTTTGAACATATTTTTTAAAAAAGGAAAATGTTTTTTATAGTTTAAAATAAAATTTTACAAGGAGTTAATCTATAATAAGAAGTAATCACTTTGGTTATTTTCTTTATAAATTAAAATTGACAGGATAATTGAGGTCTTTAAAAGCTGCAGTTGTGCAATCAAAATAAGTAACTACTTTTCATAATGATTTCATTATTCTATTCAGAGGGATTTTTATTGTGCACTTGGGGGTATGAAGCTTTAATGTGCAAATCTCAGCCAGCTAGATCTTAATGGGTCTATTAGCATGACTTCAGATCTTTAAGAAAGCTTCAACCCCCATAAGGTATCAAAGGAACTTTCCAAAACAGGTACAGAGACCTTAAATCAGACAGTGGTATGCACAGATGAAGGTAAGGGCATGACTTAAACCCTCAGATGTATTCAGTGGTAGAAGCTAAAATCCATTGTGGGGAATCTTAACTATTCAGGACAAAATTTAGACCTGGTGTGTGCAGATGCAGCTCTGTTGGCTTTGTTTCTTAGGATTTTAGATTTTTTTAAAATAAAGCCCTCTCAAATAGACATTTTCTTATTGTCAGATAGAATCTTTGAGACTTTTATCTGGGAAAGACCATATCCCCTTTAAAAGAATAACATCCGTTTAGTACTTGCAGGGCTCACCAACACCATTGTTTCTAATAGTTTAAATATTCAACTGTGAGCTAGTAGGAGTGGGAGTTGAAAACATTTAGCACCTTTTGAAAAAATTGCCACACCATAGCAAATGTTTAATCAGATTTCCTTTCTCTGGCATTGATCAATACTGGATGTTGCAAAAGAAGGGGTCGATTTCTAATTCTAATGATTCATTACTTCATACCTCCATAGTATGGTAGCAGTTTCCTCCTGACCCCACTTGGCCCAGGCAAATAATTAAGCAGGCATGTAACTTTGTGCACAAGTCCCATTGATGTCATCTGCTGCTCATGCGCTTAAAATTATGCACCTGCTTATCTCCGTAAATATAAGGAATGAATGTTATCTTTTGGAACATGATATTGAGCGTATATAGAGTGTGTGTGTATTTGACATATTCTTACGTGCATACAAAGAGTAAGATATTGGAAAATTAGATATTTAGGTAGAAATTTACAAATAATTCCAATTAGAAAAAAACATGCAGAATATTGTACAAGAAATAGGATTTGTTGACCATTTTCTCTTCACTGTCCCATACTAATGTTCTTAGTTATTTTATCAAATATTTACATGCCTAATATGGTGACAAATAGTCTCTACCTTTGGGGTATCTAATCTCATTTTATGTATAATGCCCATTACTTGTTGTGTATGAGTGACTCCCTCTACAAATAAAGATTATGCCATCAAAATATTTATTATTACCAATCAATATGATGTAGCTTCTTCCCTTTACAAGAAAAAAATATTTGCTTTTGAAAGTTATTCCAGCTACACTGCCCACTAGTTTTACACTCAATGGAGCTTGTCTTTCAGAGATCATTACATTATATCAAGCCTTCAAAGCCATGGTACCTCTGACATTGCAATTGCTTCAACATATAGCTGGAAACCTTGCGTTCACCACTAATTTTACTGTTGTCTTAACTAGCTCACATGTTCTGGTGTGAGTGCCTGTTTTCCCTGTGGAAAGACTTTGGGTGTGTTTGTTTCCTGTCTGTTTTTTTTAAATATGCAGTAAGAGTTCATTGCTGCAGACCCTAACTTCAGGGCTTCAGGCTTACCACTGTGTGAGCGGTGCCATAGTAGCAAATAAAGGTTTGCAGGATTGGGCCCTAAATAAGGAATAGACAGTACTTTGGAAATATGTGACTGACACTGATTTTCCTTATCTGATTTCCTGACCTAATCACCATTTAATTGTCTTTTTTCCTAGGTGAGACAATGCTGTGATAATCTAATCCATATTGGTCTTTTTGTGCAGGGTGAAGAAGAGATCAGACTTAACAAATGCCTTTAAATTAGATCCTCTTTACCTGCAGCATTCCCATCAGGAATCTGGTAATTTTGCATTTGAATAAGATCTTTGTTTTATCCACACTTTTTTTTTATTGCAAAACTCACTGAAAGGTTAGGGATAAAACTTTTAAGAAAATCTAAATATCTTTTCCAAAAGGGACTAGGATCAGATTTTCAAACATATTTAGATGCCTAGACAGGCAGATAAGTGCCTAGTCAGATTTTCAAAAGTGCCTAAACAGAGTTAAGCACCTAATCCCTATTTAAATCATTCAACATTTTTAAATGTTCACAACTTTCTGTTCTGCAAAACAATTAATTATTTTGTTTTTTTGCCCAATTCCAGATGAAAGCAAAATTTCAAAATATGAGTTTCCCACAGGAAAATTTTTGACCAGCTCTAGCCATAAACCCACATAAATTAATAATCTTCTTAAAAATAAAGTGTTTTAACTTGTGTTTATGCAGCTCATTCCATTCACAGGAATGAGGGCTCTGTGCAGAGAGATCTTTCTCCTGTTTATTTGTGCTTTTCCAGAAAGAAAACTTGTATAATAATCTAAAAAATTCTGTATATATTTGAAGTTTAAGTATTGTGAGGCACTTTTTTAAACAATATAGTGAGAAAAGATAGTGATTGATCTGTAATGCAGGGCTTCATAAAGTGACAAGATGGTAGCTGCATTCTCCAAGGATGCAGAAGTAAATGAAGTAAATTTTATCTGATATGAAGGTGGTTGATGGAAAACAGTCTTATGAAGCTGCATCATGATAATACCAGAATATTTGCAGCAAGACACACACACCCCTTTATATGGAGTCTCATTTATTGAGTCTCTTAAGGCATATCAATCAAACTGTTCTTTTGACCCTCAAGTCCAGCCCTAGCTCCCCTTGACTCAGGAGTCACAGAGCACTCCGTCAGCGTCTGCCCTGATAACTCAGGCTGGCTGCAGTCCTTGATCAGCTTCTTCAAGCTGGCCCCTTTCAGCTCTGTCCTTTACTCCCAGGTAGGGCCATTTGCATCTCTGGAAGCTTCTCTTTTATCTCCAGGCCTGCTCTGATTTAACCATGTGACCTACCTGTCATGTGGCTACACTAATTTTTCCCACTTGGGGAGGAGTGCTGAATGAGTCACAGGTGGGGCTTGCCCCATTAAATCTTAAAGGTCCAGTCATCCCATGACAGAGGATAAGTGAGGCCTACAAATCTTGTGCAGACCTGGCATCTTTGTAAAATGCCAGTGAAGACCTTGCAGCTCTTAGCCCATGCATAGGCTATCTTGATGGGTTAATGTTGCTCTTGGCACATATCCAGTAATTGCAGAATGGCTTCTGTCTGATCACCAGCTGCCCCCGCCCCCCTCCCTCCAACCCCCACAATTGGTTAGAACTGTGCAGGGGCAATTACAGTTGTGTACGGTACCACTGATTAATGGTACAAGTTGCATAGTAACTTTCTCTGCCCTGGAATTGGAACTTACTCTGTAGTATGGCTGTTCTCCTGACTCCTTCCATTTCTGCTGAATATGACCCCTTCGGCCACAAGGACATGAGCCTCTGGGTAGCAACCACGAAGTTGCTAGGGACAACTGCACAAACTGAGCGGTGCTGCCCTAGCCACTGCCTTTCCCTTTTGTGTATCCCTCCTTCCCCATGTAATTAGGCCCATTTTATCTCTGCACTGTGTAAGGAAAGGGGAGCACATTTTTCAAAGTGAAATTGCTACATTAGGAGGAGTTTGCCCTAGTTAGATACAGTTTAAAATAAGTAATTTAATTAAATGATATTTTTCAATTGCACATTTAACAATTACATCTGTCAAAAACAGGGCCCTTCACTTGTCCATTATAATGGTGTGTGATTTCAAACTACTTCAAACTACTAGGGGGACAGTGTGTATTACCTGTTATATGAAATAATACAATGTTAAGAAATTTTCTTGTTGCATCAACATTAGGCTTTGGTGCCAGGCCTTGGGATTTCCCAACCCCAAACATCTCATTCTAATTTAAATGAGGTAATTCCAGGAGATAGAGAACAAAGTAAACTTTTCTACCCCAAAAAGAAAAGGAGTACTTGTGGCACCTTAGAGACTAACCAATTTATTTGAGCATGAGCTTTCGTGAGCTACAGCTCACTTCATCGGATGCATACTGTGGAAACTACAGAAAACATTATATACACAGAGACCATGAAACAATACCTCCTCCCAACCCACTCTCCTGCTGGTAATAGCTTATTTAAAGTGATCATCAAGTTGGGCTATTTCCAGCACAAATCCAAGTTTTCTCACCCCCCCACCCCCCTCCAAAAACCAACACACAAACTCACTCTCCTGCTGGTAATAGCTCATCCAAAGCGACCACTCTCCCTACAATGTGCATGATAATCAAGGTGAGCCATTTCCAGCACAAATACAGGTTTTCTCACCCCCCCACCCCCATACACACACAAACTCACTCTCCTGCTGGTAATAGCTCATGCAAAGTGACCACTCTCCCTACAATGTGCATAATAATCAAGGTGGGCCATGTCCAGCACAAATCCAGGTTTTCTCAACCCCCCCCCCCCCACACACACACACACACACAAACTCACTCTCCTGCTGGCAATAGCTCATCCAAACTGACCACTCTCCTTACAATGTGCATGATAATCAAGGTGGGCCATTTCCAGCATAAATCCAAGTTTAACCAGAACGTCGGAGTGGGGGGGGGGGTTAGAAAAAAAACAAGGGGAAATAGGCTACCTTGCATAATGACTTAGCCGCTCCCAGTCTCTATTTAAGCCTAAATTAATAGTATCCAATTTGCAAATGAATTCCAATTCAGCAGTTTCTCGCTGGAGTCTGGATTTGAAGTTTTTTTGTTGTAAGATAGCGACCTTCATGTCTGTGATTGCGTGACCAGAGAGATTGAAGTGTTCTCCGACTGGTTTATGAATGTTATAATTCTTGACATCTGATTTGTGTCCATTTATTCTTTTACGTAGAGATTGTCCAGTTTGACCAATGTACATGGCAGAGGGGCATTGCTGGCATATATCACATTGGTGGATGTGCAGGTGAATGAGCCTCTGATAGTGTGGCTGATGTTATTAGGCCCTTTGATGGTGTCCCCTGAATATATATGTGGGCACAGTTGGCAACGGGCTTTGTTGCAAGGATAGGTTCCTGGGTTAGTGGTTCTGTTGTGTGGTATGTGGTTGTTGGTGAGTATTTGCTTCAGGTTGGGGGGCTGTCTGTAGGCAAGGACTGGCCTGTCTCCCAAGATTTGTGAGAGTGTTGGGTCATCCTTCAGGATAGGTTGTAGATCCTTAATAATGCGTTGGAGGGGTTTTAGTTGGGGGCTGAAGGTGACAGCTAGTGGCGTTCTGTTATTTTCTTTGTTAGGCCTGTCCTGTAGTAGGTGACTTCTGAAATGGCCCACCTTGATTATCATGCACATTGTAGGGAGAGTGGTCGCTTTGGATGAGCTATTACCAGCAGGAGAGTGAGTTTGTGTGTGTGGTTTTTGGAGGGGGGTGAGGTGAGAAAACCTGGGATTTGTGCTGGAAATGGCCCACCTTGATTATCATACACATTTTAAAGAGAGTGGTCACTTTGGATGGGCTATCACCAGCAGGAGAGTGAGTTTGTGTGTGTGTGTGGGGGGCAGAGGGTGAGAAAACCTGGATTTGTGCTGGAAATGGCCCAACTTGATGATCACTTTAGATAAGCTATTACCAGCAGGAGAGTGGGGTGGGAGGAGGTATTGTTTTATGGTCTCTGTGTATATAATGTCTTCTGTAGTTTCCACAGTATGCATCCGATGAAGTGAGCTGTAGCTCACAAAAACTCATGCTCAAATAAATTGGTTAGTCTCTAAGGTGCCACAAGTACTCCTTTTCTTTTTGCGAATACAGACTAACACGGCTGTTACTCTGAAACCTTTTCTACCCCAGTAACTTTTTTAAATGTAGGGGAATTTCCTAATTCCTGGCTATCTGGGCTGACTGATTTTAATACAATGCAAATGTGAAACAAAGCAATAATCAGGAAATTGCATAACCTGTGGTGATGAGGTTTATCCTCTCTGGCTAAAATTTCCAAGAAATATGCTTTATTAGAACAACGTTTTGATTAGAAGAAATATAAGTGACTACAGCTACACATAGGCACTGAGAGTTACCTACCTTATGTGAAAATCTGCTTTCTTTTAAAAAAAGAAATTAAACTGAATATTAGCTGTCATGAAAATTGTGAAATTGACAGCACTGGAATCCGAAGTCTTCTAGTCTCCCCAGGTAGAGTGACAGCAGGAGAAATGCAAGCCCTGCTTAACATTGCCCACCAAAGTGTTTCCTACTTGACCTGGATGTTCCACCTAAGGGTGAGGGCAGTTCAATCTTTATGCCTTTCCCTCTCCTTAGTCTGCCAATAAAACTACCAACTGCAGTGGTATTTTTTTCTGATATGGACATAATAACTCAACAGAATACTCCACATAGGTCCTCATATGATGTCTCTTGGTCATTACCAATCTGATCCAGATTTGAACCGGCAGTTTGGAGATAAATTGCTCTGTGTCCTATCCTTATTTGCCAGCCCTTTTCCAGAAATAAGAGCCACATTTTTCAAATTCAGGTGCTGTTGAATGCATATTTAGGCACCTAAGTAGAAGTGGCATGATTTTCAAAGCTGCCGAGCAGCCACAGGCTGATGCTCCCATTGACTTCAGTGGGATTTATAGGAGATCAGCACTTCTGAAAACCATGCTACTTTTATTTAGGTGCCTAATTATGGGTGTAGGTGCCTACCTGTGTTTACCCCAGTTGGAAAATTTCAGCCATGGCTTGAAAGGAAAACAAGGTGATGCTTTAAATGTCATTCATCTATCACTCAGGAATTTACATGATTTGCAAAAAATATCAATTTGTGTGCAATTACTCTTAATAACCCTGTAGCAATTACGTACACCTCAAAGAGGACAGTCTTTATTTTGTCAGTAATTATAATTTGTGTGTGATTTGCTTCCTCACACCAGGGAAATTGTACTAGCCTGCCTGGCAACCGAAGATATAGGTCAGATCCTAATGGCAGTGTTAGAAGGAAATAACTTTATACTTTATTGTGAATACCACATGTGCTACCACAATTCAAATCCTCCTAATTAAATACAGATGAAATAATAAGGCATATAATCATTAGAACAAGGACTTAATCATTGATTGCTTTCTACTTCACAGCTTATGAAAGGGGTTACTGGTAGATCGTTAGACGCTGCCCCTTACAGCAACATACAATTAGTTTCCCATCACCAGTTGCCTTACTCTTCACTACCCGCCTTGCAACTGTTAAATTAAAATAGCCATTGAGATGTAAAAGGAAAAGAGTGTTATCAAATTGCCTTGTTACTCATCTGAGAGCCAACTGGTCTTCCACTAGGTCAATGAACGGAGTTTACCAGTTGTCATAAATATAAAGGGAAGTCCCTTTATATTTGAAATCCCTTTGAAATCCCTCCTGGCCAGGGGAAAGCTCCTCTCACCTGTAAAGGGTTAAGAAGCTAAAGGTAACCTCGCTGGCACCTGACCAAAATGACCAATGAGGAGACAAGATACTTTCAAAAGCTGGGAGGAGGGAGAGAAACAAAGTGTCTCGGTCTGTCTATAGGCTGTTTCTGCCGGGGATAGACCAGGAATGGAGTCTTAGAACTTTTAGTAAGTAATCTAGCTAGGTATGTGTTAGATTATGATTTCTTTAAATGGCTGAGAAAAGAATTGTGCTGAATAGAATAACTATTTCTGTCTGTGTATCTTTTTTGTAACTTAAGTTTTTGCCTAGAGGGATTCTCTATGTTTTGAATCTAATTACCCTGTAAGGTATCTACCATCCTGATTTTACAGAGGTGATTTCTTTACTTCTATTTACTTCTATTTCTATTAAAAGTCTTCTTATAAGAAAACTGAATGCTTTTTCATTGTTCTCAGATCCAAGGGTTTGGGTCTGTGGTCACCTATGCAAATTGGTGAGGCTTTTTATCCAACATTTCCCAGGAAAGGGGGGGTGCAAGTGTTGGGAGGATTGTTCATTGTTCTTAAGATCCAAGGGTCTGGGTCTGTAGTCACCTAGGCAAATTGGTGAGGCTTTTTACCAAACCTTGTCCAGGAAGTGGGGTGCAAGGTTTTGGGAAGTATTTTGGGGAAAGACGTTTCCAAACAGCTCTTCCCCAGTAACCAGTATTTGTTTGGTGGTGGTAGCGGCCAATCCAAGGACAAAGGGTGGAATATTTTGTACCTTGGGGAAGTTTTGACCTAAGCTGGTAAAGATAAGCTTAGGAGGTTTTTCATGCAGGTCCTCACATCTGTACCCTAGCGTTCAGAGTGGGGAAGGAACCTTGACACCAGTGCTGAAGGGGCCCAAACAGGGATGAGAGCCCCATTGTCCTAGGCGCTATACAAACATCTGGTAAAGAGACAGTCATTGCCCTAAAGAATTTACAATCTTGATCATCGCAAGAAGCAACAAGTTAATGAAGTAAACAAATATGGGGAGGAAGGATGAGGTAGTAATAATAGGAGTCTTTTTTCACATAGTCTAGCCCTGTATGCAGTGTAAATTGCCACTGCATTGGAACAGGCAACCAGGACTTCACTGAAAACGTTTCCTTTCCCCATAAATATAAATGTTAGGAAACATAGACATGGCATGTGACTAATTAAAAAAGTGCATGTAATACAATAGCATATTGTACTTTTTCATTGGGGGTCTTGATTTAGGCAAGCACTTAGGTACATGCTTAAGTGTCTCTGAAGTCAATGGACCTGACGTGCTTAAAGCTAAGCACTTACCAAAGTGCATTGCTAAATCGGGATTGACTTAAACATATGCTTTAGTATGCTCCTGAAGCAGAGGCTGGGACTGAGAGGCAGAAGATGTGGGTCTCTGTACCTAACTCACTGCATGACTGTGAGCTAGTCATTTTACAACTTTATGCCTCACCTTTCCCTAAGCTAAAGATTAATTTAATTAACTGATTCCTAAAAAAAATAAGGACAGTTTGCACCCTAGGTGCTTGAACAAAATAGGGCTATTAATACTGTGCCTACCTCACAGGGGTATTTTATGCGTGTGTGGCTTTGTCAATGTTTGTAAAGGGCTTTTAATACCTTGAATGAAAAGCAGAAGTGAAGAGCAAAGCATTGTTGTCCAAGTATAACTGATGAGCAGATATTTAGAATTCTCAATGACTTGTCCTACAGACTTAAGTACTAACAATAAGTGTTAATGAGCAATGTGGGGTGATCAACAGCATAAAATCCTTCTTGAAAATATTTCCAATTCCCCCATGTGAAGACTATGGCAGTTTTATGACAAAGATCCTGTGATGAATTGGTGACCTGAGACCACACTTTCTCCAGATTCTACTTTGAGGAAGTGAACTTCTGTTTCAAGTCAAATTACTGAAAGGTGTTTTGTTCGATACTTCCCAGACAAGTGTCTCCTTACAACAAGAAGATAAATAGGGTGTTTGGCATGTCATCATTCACATGATCCCAAATATAACAGAAAGGAGAGCCCGATTTCTCCTTTTGAAATCTGTTTGGTTAATTCTGCCAATTGAGGAGTACTTTGTGCCCGCAATTGCCATTGTACTCAACACCACTGAGAACCTTGCAGCATCATGGCCAAGTGTATGGTGGCAATGAAATATAAAAATATTTCATATCATTTAGCAGACTGTTTTTTGCTATCACAGTAAACAGATTTAAATATTTTTTTCTTTAACTTACAGGGCTTGTTACAGATTACAGGGTAAGTACAGTGCCCTCAGTAATAATAACAATATTGATTTATACATGGTAACTTTTCTAAAAATGTTTTTCTTTTAATTGTTGTTATAGTAACTCAGAGTTAGCTTCTTTCTTCTGTGAAAGAGGCTCAACTTGCTGTTCCCTTGATAATTCTCCAAACCAGGAAAATCTAAAACTCCAGTCCCTATTTATTTTTAAACCTTTTGTTTAAAAGGATGCGATGGTACCAATTTATACCAATTAACAACAAGGGGTAAGCAATGCAAGCCAAAACAGGGAAATAACTAATTAAAGAATATTTAGATAAAATTGGATGTATTCAGGTCAGCAGGTCCAGATGAAATTTATCCTCGGTACCCAATGAACTAGCTAAAGCAATCCCAGAACTGTTAGCAATTATCTTTGAGAACTACTGAAGGACAGGTGAGGTCCCACAAGAGTGGAGAAGGGTAAATATAGTATCTATCTTTAAAAAGGAGAACAAAGAGGACGCAGGGAATTATAGACCAGTCAACCTAACTTAAATACCTGAAAAGATACTGGAACAAATTATTAAACAATCAGTTTGTACGCACCTTGAGGACGTTAGGATTATAAGGAATAGTGAGCAGGGATGTGCCAAAAACAAATCATCCCAAATCAACCTAATTTCCATCTTCTGACACAGTCCTATATGACATTCTCACAAAAGAAATGTGGTCTAGATTAAATTACTATAAGGTAGGTGCACAACTGGTTGAAAGACCATACTCAAAGAATAGTTATCAATGATTGCCATCAAACTGGGAGGGTTTATCTAGTGGCATCCCACAGAGGTCAGCCATAGGTTCAGCATTATTCAATATTGTCATTAATGAGTTGGATAATGGAGTGGAAAGAAGGCCTATAAAATCTCCCAATGACACCAGACTGGGAGGGATTGAAAACACTTTGGAGGACAGAATAAGAACTCAAAACAACCTTGACAAATTGATCTTGTATTTATTGAATTTAATCTTGTTGAATTCAGACAAATTCTCCAAAGTACTTCACATAGGAAGGAAAAATCAAATGTGCAACTACAAAAATGGGGAATAACTGCTGAAAAGGATCTGGAGGTTATAGTTGATCACAAATTGAATATGAGTCAGCAATGTGATGCAGCTGTGAAAAAGGCTAATGTCATTCTGGGGTGTATTAAGAGGATTCTCATATATAAGACAGCACTTTACTCAGCACTGGTGAAGCCTCAGCTGGAGTGCTGTGTCAAGTTCTAGGCATCACACTTTAGGAAAGATGTGGACAAAATGGAGAGTGCAGGGAATAGTAACAAAAATGATAAAAGGATTAGAAAACCTGACCTATGAGGAAAGGTTAAAAAGACTAGGCATGTTTATTCTTGAGAAAAGAAGACGCAGAGGGGATGTGACAGCAGTCTTCAAGTATGTTAAGGGCTGTTATAGAGAACATGGTATTCATAGATATTCAAAGATATTAAGGTCAGAAGGGACCATTATGATCATCTAGTCTGACCTCCTGCACAATGCAGGCCACCAAATCTCACCCATCCACTCCTGCAATAAACCTCTCACCTATGTCTGAGCTATTGAAGTCCTCAAATCATGGTTTAAAGACATAGTGTTCTCCATATCCACTGAAGGTAGGACAACAAGTAATGCACTTAATCTGCAGCAAGGGAGATTTAGGTTAGATATTAGGAAAAAAATTAATTCTATCAGGGTAGTTAAGCACTGGAATTGGCTTCCAAGGGAGGCTGTGGAATCCCCATTACTGGAGGTTTTTAAAAACAGATTGTACAAACACCTGTCAAGGATGGTCAAGATTTACTAAGTCCTGCCACAGTCCAGGCAGCTGGACTTGATGGCTTTTCAAGGACCTTCCAGCCCTACATTGCTATGATTCTGTGTCTGACTGAAAGCTCTAGGCTTGGCCAAGAGAAGGAATCTTTGTGAAGATATTTTCTTCAAACCATAGTGCATAATAGGTTATTTTAAAAACTAATTATAAATGTATTTTCTCCTAAAATGAAAATCTTTCTATTTCTTAAAACTTTATTTTATTTTATTTTTTTAAAATTTCTTTATATGGACCCTTCATGGTAAGTTTGTCTATGTGCCCTATCACACAAAGTGCTGAGTACCTTGTGGAGACTTCAGTGGGAGTTTTGGGTGCAAGAGCAATATGTGCTTTGTTTCATGATCACTGTCTTCTGACACCTGCTCTCCTTTCCACTTTTGCATTTTAAACAGTTGGGTGTTGACTGTGGCAGTGTATTTGCCAGTACCAGAATAATCTTTCCTGATTTGACCTATCTCTTAAGTTATTATACAGGGAGCCTCTGGAAGCTTGAACTATGGTCTATGCCAAACTGGCTGTACCTGGAACCATGTCTTCTGACATGGAGACCCTTCCTTCTCAAATGCATTACTCCTTCTGCTTGCAGCATTGGCAGATCCCTCTCGGCCGAAGATTTCGTTCCCTGAAAATGTGGTTTGTGTTTAGAATGTATGGAGTCAAGGGACTACAGGAGTACGTCCGTAAGGTGACCTCCTTTTACTTTATGGGAAAATTTGTGTTGGGGATGGGAAGGGAAGAGGGGCTTAATAAGAATCCACATCTATGTGCCTTCTGCATAATTACACCTGCATGCATAAGCAAAGCTTGTTGCACAGCCCAGTTCATGGGAGGGCCTGCCTTTCACCCTATCCTATCACAACAGTTATGATCATTGGGATCACAGCCATTGATCATCTTGTGGCACAATCTTGAGGGGATGTGAATTTTAGATGCCACATTAGTGACATCGTTCAAAACAAAGCCAAGACTTTTCATTGATGCCTTAGTTGTTGTATGTATTTATTCTACATTTATTATTTTATTATGTTGTATGTATTGATTATATATTAGGGTCAGGATTATGGTGTTAGGATTTGTGTATGCTCCCATGATTTACTGGGCATGTTACCTAGTTTGACTGAAGCTACAGTTTCAGGTGTTTCCTGAATGGAACTGCCTTTAGGATATGGTTACCTACAGATTACAATTGATCCTTATTATGCTTAAGTACTGGGGACATTCCTGCTTTGTACAGGGTAGTTTGTCATCACTGTAAATGCATGTGCTATGGTGCTGTATGATGTACATACTTCTGTTATAAATATAAAGTAAAACTGCAAAATACCTTTTATGTTTTCAAACTCAAGAGAAACTGCTGGCAAAGATAAAAATAGAGAGCCATATCCTACAGTTACACTAGCTGAGGTTCTTGTCCAAAGTCTACCGCAGTAGAGATTTATATTTAATTAGCTATCTAACCTCTGATTCTGCCTGTTCTTGGTGGGAGTGTGTGTAGACACAGATGTGCCAAACTCTCCCAGGGACACATATTTCTTAGCAAAAGTGGGACTAGTGTCACAGTTTTCTTCCTTAAGAACCTTATGCAGACTAGCTAGTGGGAAGAGGAAGATATTGCCCCATCATCTGCCTAAAATGCCAGAGAGCTACTCAAAGCGTTGGATGCCACTACTGTAGCAGATGAAGGATAAATGGAAGTTTTCTGCTTTTTGTTTTGGTTTAGTTTTTATTTTCTTCTGCATAGATACCTTGTAATTTCTATTTGGCTCCATGGACAACAATCTAAATGGGATTTTGATCCTTATTATGTTCTGGAGAAACATATTTTGAGGGCAACAATGACATTGGCTTTTTATCACCTCTGATACAATCCAAAAGTGAAATTTTGGATCTCCTCTGTCTCTTTTACTGAAGTGAAAATGGGCTCATGGTTTGTTATACTTTGCCATTAATGAAGCTTTCACTGCATTGGTCTCTCAGGTAAGGTTTTGCAGATGGCAATTAATTCAATTTACTGGCAAGGTTTTAAATAGCACTAAATCTCATATTCTTCTGGTGGCAGAGTTGAAGTCCTCACGTTGATTACATGTACTTTATTGGATTAGTGTTAATACCTTATTAGTAACATTCAAGAAACTTACCTGGCCTTTCTCTCTTCTCCCAGACATTTCCCTGGGTGCTCAGAGAGCAAATACTTGCCTTTTTAGAGTCCCATAGACCCCTTTTGAAGGCAGAGTTTTCCTATAATGTCTGGAAATGCATCACTTTTGTAAAGCTATTGACTTCAGTGGAGATGAACCAGGAATGAATGTGGCTCTTCATGTTTCTGAATAGACTTTTTTCCTTGTTTCTAATTTAACTTCATTGTAATGTTTTAGATTAGGTCTTTACAGGCGTGCTGGGAGGCGAGAGGGTGTAATGTTATTTCCTTGAGCACTAGAAAGAGCTGTGGGATATAGTTCTCCAAAACAAACAAACAAACCAAAAAAACCCCCGCATAGCCAAATTATGACCTCACACTTGTGACTTCAGTGGCGTTACTTGGGTATAATTGAGGGTAGAATTTTGCTTACTGAACACGTAAGTGGAGTGATTAATTTAGGCTTGATTTCTTCCATTTGAAATGAATGATGGCTCATCACATTCTCTGGGTTTCATTGCTTCTCTAAAAAAAAATTTCCTTTGTTTCTCTCAGTGGAACTGCAAGGGCAAGGACTGATTGAGCTTTTGTTGTTTAGTAATCTAGATGGTAGGACTGGTCGTTTAGTCAGTTGCCTTCTGTGAGATTGTAAACATTGCAGTATTGTTACAAACTGTACCAATGCTCACCAACAGCAGTTGTAATGTGTTCCATACCTCACTTCCCCATTTCCCTCCCCTCCTCTTTCCAAAAAACGTTCTTTATTCCCGAAAATACTGTGGTGAATTTTCTTTTGGTGGTTGTAGTAATAAGGAATGTTATAAACTCTGGTAATGGATTATATTGCAAAGCTGTAAACAGTTTCCCAAATGAAAAAACTCTTGAAATTTAATCTCACTTTACCACCCCTCGTCAGTCTTTAAGGATTTGTATAATTCCAGGCCTTGGGAGGTTCTTTCCATTTAAACATACGGTAACATCTCAAAAATAATAGTTTTCATACTTTCAGTGCTGGTCAAGGCAACCCTTCTAAAAAGAACAGCCAGTACTAGCTTGTGGGTTACACTTGGTGTTTCATTTGATTTGTGCCACAAGAGGATCCCTAAAGTTGCCAGAACTATTTCTCAATCAGCATTTAAAGAAACAAGAACTAGCTTTTGTGTTTGCTACACTTGGTCACATAGTGCAATGAAATAAGACATGAATAAATACTGCAGTTCTCTGTGGGTAGATCTGTCCTCTGTGCAAAGAAAAATCTGCAATGCCGAGTCTGAGCCTGGGTCAATTTCATGCCTGGAGCTCTGGTTGCACGGCTAAAATTCGCAGGGTAGACCTTCCTACATGGAGTGGAGCCAGGGCTCGGAAACCCAGCAAAGGGGGAGGGTTTCAGAGTCCAGGCTCCAGCCTGAGTGGGAATGTTTATATCACTCTTTTGAGCCCTGCTGCCCAAGCCCCATGAGCCAGAGTCCGTTGATCTGGGCTCTGAGACTCAGTGCCATGGGATTTTCTTTGCAGTGTAGACATACGCTGTGTGGCCACTCAAGGCCTCAAACACAGTGGGAATGCTCTGTTTCTGCTGCATTGGTGAGCAATCAGCAAAGAGGCCATGCAAAGGGAATCATAGAATCATAGAATAACAGAGTTGGAAGGGACCTCTGGAGGCCATCTAGTCCAACCCCCTGCCCAGAGCAGGACCAATCTAAATCATCCCAGCCAGGGCCTTGTCAAGCCTGACCTTAAAAACTTCTAAGGAAGGGGATTCCACCACCTCCCTAGGTAACGCATTCCAGTGTTTTACCACCCTCCTAGTGAAAAAGTTTCTCCTAATATCCAACCTAAACCTCCCCCACTGCAACTTGAGACCATTACTCCTTGTCCTGTCATCTGCTATCACTGAGAATAGTCTAGATCCATCCTCTTTGGATCCACCTTTCAGGTAGTTAAAAGCAGCTATCAAATCCCCCCTCATTCTTCTCTTCCGTAGACTAAACAATCCCAGTTCCCTCAGCCTCTCCTCATAACTCATGTGTTCCAGTCCCCTAATCATTTTTGTTGCCCTTCGCTGGACTCTCTCCAATTTTTCCCCATCCTTCTTGTAGTGTGGGGCCCAAAACTGGATACAGTACTCCAGATGAGGCCTCACCAATGTCGAATAGAGGGGAATGATCACATCCCTCGATCTGCTGGCAATGCCCCTACTTATACACCCCAAAATGCCATTGGCCTTCTTGGCAACAAGGGCACACTGTCGACTCATATCCAGCTTCTCCTCCACTGTCACCCCTAGGTCCTTCTCTGCAGAACTGCTGCCTAGCCATTCGGTCCCTAGTCTGTAGCGGTGCACTGGATTCTTCCATCATAAGTGCAGGACTCTGCACTTGTCCTTGATGAACTTCCTCAGATTTCTTTTGGACCAATCCTCCAATTTGTCTAGGTCCCTCTGTATCCTATCCCTCCCCTCCAGCGTATCTACCACTCCTCCCAGTTTAGTGTCATCCGCAAACTTGCTGAGGGTGCAATCCACACCATCCTCCAGATCATTAATGAAGATATTGAACAAAACCGGCCCCAGGACTGACCCTTGGGGCACTCTGCTAGATACCGGCTGCCAACTAGACATGGAGCCATTGATCACTACCCGTTGAGCCCGACAATCTAGCCAATTTTCTACCCAATTTGTAGTGCATCCATTCAGCCCATACTTCTTTAACTTGCTGGAAAGAATACTGTGGGAGACCGTGTCAAAAGCTTTGCTAAAGTCGAGGAATAACACGTCCACTGCTTTCCCTTCATCCACAGAACCAGTTATCTCATCATAGAAGGCAATTAGATTAGTCAGGCATGACTTTCCCTTGGTGAATCCATGCTGACTGTTCCTGATCACTTTCCTCTCGTCTAAGTGCTTCAGAATCCAAACCATGGAGTAGAACTTTGTGGCAGCTCTTTGAGTTGGAATGTGGAGAGGGGAATGAACTTGTTTGGGATCAGTGCACCACATGGATCTACACAGCTCAGTGTAGTTGCAACAAGCATGTCTGCTACACCTATTCATTCTCTGTAGTTGCATTTGCAGCTGGGTTGGGCCTTACTTGTAGGTTTGGGGAGTAGGATCCCATTTCCTCCCTGCTACTACAAAAATCGCCTTGCTAATTCCTAAGTCATAAGGTCCTATGCCACTTAGGCACTTTAGAAAATTTCATCCAGTGCCCACAGGAAAAGCTCTTTTACTCCGATTCCACTTGTGCAGCCGGGATTTAGCCCAAAAGTTTGAAATTTTGAGAGATGACAACTTATGACAAGCTGTAGCAGGGGAAAAGGCCATAAGCTACCATTTTTTGTGCTGTGATTAGAAGAGATGAGATGAGCCTCTTTTGAAAAAAAAAAAAAATGGTCTTAAAATATACCTGAAACTGGCTGTTCACAAACAGATCTTTTTTCTGCCTTCCATCTCCCTTAGTTCCAAATAGTTTTATTTTTTAAGAAAAAAAGTATTTTTTTTTAAAGTTAAAGATGGTTGCTGTGTTTGCGGCTTTCAAAATCTGTATCTG